CTCACATGGTACAGAATTCAAAAGGGTAGGTAATAAACAGTAACTCGGTCTGTAGCCTTTTCTGGAGGCAACCATTGTTACTAGTTTCTTGTGTATTCTCCCAGAGATATTTTAGGGATTGATAAACAAATACGTATATATTTGTTTGCATACTATGTATACCTTTTTGCATATCCTAGACATGTTGAAGTATACTGTATCTATATATATATTTTTTTTTAACTTAGCACCATGTCTTGGCACGCCTGCAGTGTCAGCCCATAAAGAGCTGCCTGATTCTTTGTAACTGCTGCATGATGTCCACTGCATGAAGGGACTAACATTTAGCCGGCCCCTGAGGATGGCCATTTAGGGTTGTTTCCATTTTGCTGTCATGAGCAGTGTGACAGTGGGTACCCTTATTTGTATGTCATTTCTCACTTGTGGGAGTGTACCTGTAGGATAAAATTTTAGAACTGAAATACAGGTCAGAAGTGCGAAAAACCATGATTTTTTAAAATTTAATTTGGTTTTTTTAACTTATACAAAACATATCTGTTTAAGTCAAAACTGTATTACGAGTATGGTCTCACTACCATTCGTGTCCCTTCCACCCTGTTCCCCCCTCATATGAAACCAGCAAATGTGGGCGTATACATACATGTATATTCGTCTCTCACCTTCTTACGTATAATAGTAGCTTTCTCTATATGCTGTTCTGTCCCTTGAATGTCTGTCCTGAAATTTCAGAGAGAACCATCTTCAAGATACTGAAGTAAAACCCAAGAACAGATAGCCCCCAGTGAGGATTTTGACCTGAGATTGACCACGCCCAGCCCAGTACCCTGGGGCGGGCGGGTCGTCGGGCGGGTCCTCAGCTGTAACGGTCTTGAGCCACTGTCTCCAAGGACTTGCCCAGCCCTCTCAGGCACCAGGTGCTGGCTAAGCACTTGGCAGCATGACCTCATTTAATCCCCAGGACAATACTTAGACCCTCCTGTCCCTTCCAGCACCATTGCCCTCCTTGCTTTGTGACCTGAGATCCCCTACCTGCCCTCTCTGAGCCGCCAGCTTTCTCATCCCAGACTGCACTAGGGTTTTCTCTTTTGTCTCTCCCGGGGGTTCCTGTGGCTCCCCACACCTAGAAGGGCCCTGCCTTTGCCTCTTTTTCTCTTTATCTTGCCAGGTTTGTCCAAAATATGTTCATCCGCCAGTCAGAACTTGTTCTCCTTTTTGTCTGGTAACCAGTTTTTAGATTGCAGCAGGATCGGCATACAGTGAAATGCACGTAGCTTAAGTGCCAGTCTGATGAATTTTTAAATTCATTAAGCTGTATGTACATCAATATAACCAGCACTTAAGTCAAGATACAGAATGTTTTCATCTCCCCAGAAAGGTCCCTCGTACCCTCTGCCAGTTAGTGTCTTCCACCCTGAGGTAACCATTATTCTAACCTCTATCCCCATGGATCAGTTTCGCCTGTTCTTGACCTTCATGTAAGAGGAATCCTACAGGATATAGTATCTGGTTTCTTTCACTCAGCATAATGTTTCTGAGATTCATCCAAATTGTTACAGTATCAGTAGTTCACGTCTTTATATGAATAGGCCGCAATTTGTTCATCCATTCACCCGCTGATGGAGATTTGAGCTGTTTCTGGTTTGGAACCTTTATGAATAAAGCTGTTATGATAATTTTTGTACAAGTTTTCTTGTATACATAGGTACTCATTTCTCTCAGGTAGGTTCCTTGTATACATATGTGCTCATTTTTCTCAGACAGATTTGGGTAGGAGTGGAATTGCTGAGTCGTAGGGTAGATGGATGTTTAACTGTGTTAGAAGCTGCCAACTAGATTTCCACCGTCATCACGATGTGTTACACTCCTCACCGCCAGCATATCAGAGTTCCGGTGCTGCTCCCTCCCTGCCAACACTTAGTATCATCAGTCTTTTTTTGTTTTAGCCATTATGATAGGTGTGTAGTGGCCTCTTATTGTGTTTTTTTTTTTTTTTTTTTTTGCGGTACGCGGGCCTCTCACTGTTGTGGCCTCTCCCATTGTGGAGCACAGGCTCCGGATGTGCAGCCCCAGCAGCCATGGCTCACGGGCCCAGCTGCTCCGCGGCACGTGGGATCCTCCCAGACCGGGGCATGAACCCACGTCCCCTGCATCGGCAGGCGGACTCCCAACCACTGCGCCACCAGGGAAGCCCTCTTATTGTGGTTTTAATTCTCATTTCTCTGATAAGGAATGTTGAGCACATTTTCATATATTGACCCTTTTGTGCAGAGTTTATCGAAGTCTTTTGCTCACTGTTTTTATTGTGTTGTTCATCTTTTATTGATAGGAATGCTTTATATATTCTGGATATGAGTCCTCTGTCAGAATCTATGAATATTTTCTTCTTTTGCTTTTTTACTTTTTCTTTTTTTCTTCTTTGGTATGAAGAAAAGAAGTGAAGATGGTGAGGGGAGGGCCTCTTGGGGAGAGGGACTGATTAGGGTGGTCATGGAAGGCTCTTAGAAGAGGTGACGTCTTTTATTTATTTATTTTTGGCTGCATTGGGTCTTCGTTGCTGCGCGTGGGCTTTCTCTAGTTGTGGCGAGCGGGGGCTACTCTTCGTTGCAGTGCGCGGGCTTCTCATCGCAGTGGCTTCTCTTGTTGCGGAGCACGGGCTCTAGGCGCGCAGGCTCAGCAGTTGTGCCACAGCATTTCTACTTGCCCCTGCTCCTGGCTGAGCCTGGCATCTGCCCGTGGTAGGATTAGTTGTCCTTGTGGTTTCTGAAGGGACACCCTTTCCCACGGGAGTAGCAAAGGGCTCCCTATCTTCTGGGACTTTGGTCAAGTTACTCAACAGCCTCAGGTTCTTTCCCTTAAATGGGGGTGGTGGTAACTCTTCGTGGGGTTCAGTCATGTTCCCAGCATGTGTCCAGCGAGAATCCTCAGTTGCAGGCTCCGGAAATACAGAGGTAAATTACTACCCTGTGGTGCCCAGTGATGGGGGGACAGACAGCAAGTAAAGAAGGTAGTCGGCAGGATGACCCCAGGCTGTGCTAAGGGCTCCACTGGGGTGAATGGGTGCTGAGGTGGACACTGGGAGGGACCTCTCCATCAGTGCCTCAGTCCGTCTCCTGCTGCCCATCTTCCTCGGTTCAGGAGCACCACTCGGCCTCTTCCGTCCCTCAGCACTGCAGATGTCCAAGGTGCACAGGGTCCCAGGGAGCCAGTCCATCCAGCCTCCCGACCCTCTGCAGTGCAGCCCTTTTCCCTGCTCACTGCTTTAAAATCCTTCCAGCAAACATTTGCGGAGCGCCCCCTGTGCCAGAAACCCAGGAAGTCTTGGGAATAAGACAGCCTAGGTCTTTTTTTTAAAATTAATTAATTAATTAGGCTTGCGGCACGGGGGCTCTTCGTTTTCGCGTGCGGGCTCTTAGTTGCAGCATGTGGGATCTAGTTCCCTGACCAGGCATCAAACTCAGGCCCCCTGCACTGGGAACGTGGAGTCTTAACCACTGGACCACCAGGGAAATCCCAAGACAGCCTAGGTGTTGACCTCGTGGCACAGTAGCTTCTAGCGGGGCTCAGCAGTCAGTGAGCAAGAAAATTCCACGAAGGTTTCTCAGAGTTCTAAGCATATGAAGACGGTGAGACAGGTGATGAGGGACGTGCCTGGGTGTGGCAGGCAGCGGCTAATGGGGTACTCCAGGGAAACCACACTGGCCACGGAGCAGTGACATGCTGGTTACTAGCAAGAGGGTGGCACCATGCAAAGATCCCAGAAGGATCTTTGCAGTGGGAAGTCCTTGGAGGCTGAATGGGTAAAATGTTTCCCTACCCAGGTACTGCTAGGGAAGGGGTGGCTGTACCTACCTGGAGTAGGCGGAGATCTTTGCCAGGCCTGCGCCACTTCCCTGCACCTGTCCCCTCTTGCTGGGAAAGAGGTCCTAGTTGGGTTTTGCCGGGCGTGTGGGGAGGTCCCCCCTTTGCTTGTTTCTAGAGATGCCGGGGAAGTGGGTGGGCTGTAACTCACTCCTGATTGGACACTCAGTACTGGTCGGCCATGTTATGCAAATGAGCTAGAAGTTCGTTCTCTACTTGGAGTAGGAACCTAAGGGTGAGGGTGCCCTGATGGCCGGAAGCGCACTCAGGACCCACGAAAATCAGCTTCCCACATCTAGTGATTTAGGCCTGACGGGAGAGAATGAGGGGTCTGGGCATCTTACCTGAGCAGTGGTTCTTAGATCCAGAACCACGGGTCTCTCACTCTGTCCTTTTCTTTTGTCCCCCAGGTTCCTAGCAATAGTGATGTGGGAATGATGCTGAAATGCTTTTAACTCTCAATTATGCTGTTTCCATAAAATGGTGGACTGAACAGCTATTAAATGATGCCATGATTGTAGATTTATTGGCGTGGAGAAATGTTCACAGGACATGGTTAAATGAAAACAGCTGGCTTACAAAACGAGTATCACGTTGTTATTAAATATTTATATGTAGTCACATATTTAAAAATTGTGGGATGAAAAACATGTTAAATGGGTGGTAGGATTAAGATGGTTTATATTTTGACTTCTAATATTTTTGACAGCTTTATTGAGGTATAATTGGCACATAATAAGCTTTACATACTTAAAGAGTATAACTTGATAAGTATTGACATGTGTACACCTGTGAAACCATCACCTTACCTATATTTCTTAATTCTTCTAAAGTGATGATACACTGTGGGTTTTATGTTTTCTACTTAAAAAAAAAAAAAAAAAGGAAAGCCTATCAGTCATTGAGCTGGCTGAACCAGGAGGGAAAGGGATCAGTGCCCACTTCCAGAAGGTTGGGCAGTGGACGGCAGGCGGGCCTTTCTGGAATCTGGAAAGGGAGGGCTGGAGATCAGAATAGACTTGGGATCCCTTGTCCCTGGGCCACCTTCTCAGGCCTGGGCCTTCCCTGGGACTCAGTGGGCGGAGGAAAGATGGAAGGAGGCCCAGGGCTAAGGCATCCAGACTCACCTTGCTCTTCCCCAGGAGGCCTCTGCAACCTGTGCTCAGACAGGGCCAACAAGGAGCACATCCTGCAGACTGGGGGTGTCCCACTCATCATTGACTGCCTGTCCAGTCCCAACGAGGAGACCGTGCTGTCCGCCGTGACCACGATCATGTACCTGAGCTCGCCGGGCTCCAGCTCGCACCCCGAGCTGACCGCCACGCCCGTGGTCCAGTGCATGGTGCGCTTCTCCCTCTCGGCCAACGCGAGGCTCCGGAACCTGGCCCAGATCTTCCTGGAAGACTTCTGCTCCCCCAGCCAGGTGGCCGAAGCCCGCAGCCGGCGGGCTCACTCTGCCCTGGGGATCCCACTACCAAGGGCTGAGGCCCCACAGCAGCCCTGATCCAAGGCACCCTCAGGCCGCGGCACCGGCACTGCCAGAGACAAGACCAGAATCCCGGTGGGGACTCAGGAAGTGGGAGCAGCAAAGCTCCCACTGTGCACGTTCTCCCCAAGTGGTGCTTTGTCAACCCCTTTAAAGGCGAGTTTTCTCAGTGGGACAGGTGTTTACACTGTGATGAAAGGCACCAGGAGATGAGTGAGGAAGCCAGACTTTGAGACACGTGGAGAAGGAAATTGAAGGGTGCCGTTTTGACAGGCTGACGCTCTCAACCAGCTAGAGGCGAAGGTCCTGCCTCCTGGCCCACCCCGCCACCGAGCTGTCACCCTCGTGTGAGAAGCAGCAGGTCCCTAGACCCAGAGGCTCTGCAGATGGGGTTTCTCCTGAGGAACAGCTGGGCCTGGGGCTTAGGAGAGTTGCCTGAGCTTGAGGAAACAGGCATCATACCTTAACAGAAGTGTCAGGAGTAATTCTGAGAAATAGAAATGAGAAGCCTTGTTGTTAAAAGTATTTCGGGGCCCTGGGAAGCTGGGGAAGTGTTGTGTCCACTGCTGTGGAGGCCGGATACCTGTCCTGCAAGCTCTCCAGGCTGGGTGTTGGGCATGGTGAATGCTGGCCTGGAGAACTCTGTGGCCCAGGATTAACTGTTTATCTACACAGGCCTATCAGCCGGGGACCATGTTAGGGCTTCAAAGACGAAGACGTGGTTCCTGATCTTGAGTGTCACAGCCCAGTGACTGTTAACATGGCCATCAGGCATTAAGACGGAGGCCATGAGGGTGACACATTAGAATACAGGCACAAACTCCACGAGCTGTTGTCTTTTCCCTTCACCACCCCATGGTACTTGCCTGGAAGCCCTGGCCTGCCTTCTCTGCCATCAGGGTTAGTGAGGTGGTGGTGGTGGGGTCCCTGTCCCTGGAAATCTGTCTCAGGCTGGCTTCAGGGATGCAAGTAAGAGAGGTGCTCGAGGGAGATGGGACCAGATACTGACAGCAAGCGAATGGCTCAGCGTCTAGTGTCAGCTGCTCAGCACGGGGGAAGGGGTGTGGGCCCCCTTAGAAAGGTGGGGTTCAGGAGCAGTGGAAGGTCCTGGCCTCCCTTAAGGATGACCTCTTTTTTTTTTCTTTTTTAAAATTTTATTTATTTTTGGCTGCGTTGGGTCTTTGTTGCTGCGCACGGGCTTTCTCTGGTTGCAGCAAGCGGGGCTACTCTTCATTGGGGTGCACAGGCTTCTCATTGCAGTGGCTTCTCTTGTTGCAGAGCACGGGCTGTAGGGCGCGCAGGCTTCAGTAGTTGTGGCACGTGGGCTCAGTAGTTGTGGCTCGCGGGCTCTAGAGCACAGGCCCAGTAGTTGTGGCACAGTTGCTCCGTGGCATGTGTGATCTTCCTGGACCAGGGATCGAACCCGTGTCCCCTGCACTGGCAGGCAGATTCTTAACCACTGCGCCACCAGGAAAGCCCAAGGATGACCTCTTACATGGCCAAGGAAAGGCAGATTCGAGAGGAATGGTTTCCAGGTGGACGTGGAGGTGGGCAGACTATGGAACTAATGGACTAAGGAGACGAGAGGGAGGGAGGCAAAGGCCTCCTCATTGGCCTCTGTCCCAGCTGCCCCTGTGGGGCTCCTGTCCCTTCGCTTCCCCCAAATAAAAGGCCATAAGAGAGCAGTGAGCCAAAGTGTTTTATTAAAAAGGTTCCTGATTTTCCCACCATGTTTCCAGGCCAGCTCTGCCAGGAGGGTTCAGGTGGCTGGCACAGTGCTGAGGGGTCATTGCCATGATGCTGCCCTGTCGCTCAGTTCTGCCTGGGCTCCCTGCTGGTCTGCCTTCCCTTCCTTCAGCTACTGTCCACGGCCATGGCCCCTCGCCTTATTCCTGGGGCGGCCCCAGGCCGGTTTGGTCCCGCTGCAGGGCTCCCCGCTTGCTATCTATAATCTCCTTCCAGTTGTCACTCCAGGAGAGCAGCCGTCTCCGTGGGGGGGGCAGGGGCAGGTGCTGGTTGTGGCAGCAGGTGAACAAGATGTGCTCCCAGCTTGGGGTCTCCTCTTGGCCTGGGACAGGACACGGGAGGAAGGCAGGGATACACTCTGTAATCTGGTTATTTTTACTCCCTCTCCCTAATCCCAGCAGGCTAGATGCCTGGAGGTTGCTAGGGAAAAGGGCTCCTACCTTGAATGGTGTCCTTGTCATCAATGAGCAGGTCCCCCAAGACCACCGTCTTGTCCCTCGTCAAGATAATGCGCTCCACAAACTGGGGCCCCAGGTGCTTCTCCACCCAGCGGTACTGTGAGGTGGGCATAGGTGGCTCAGTAGGGCCTGATGGGCCCTTGAATTCAGGGCCAGTGAGCAAGTAGGTGTGAGGGAGGGTCTACAGCAGCTCATGAGAGAGAGGGCTCCCCTCTACCCCCCACCCCACCCCCGACTGTCTGTGTTCCTGCCGCTTTCTTTAGAAGACCAGGGCTTAGGAGCCTAAGTCTGCGGGTGAAGTGCTGGGGCAGCCGCACCTTCTCGTGCACACAGTGGTCGTACTTCATCAGAGGGCTGGTGCAGATGAAGACCTCGGTGCTGCGGGGTGGGGGGGGGGGGGCGGTTAGACAGGGTGATGCCAGCGCCTGCTCCCCACCCCCTCCCTCCCCGCCCTTCCTCACTCCTGCATGTCATTCATCTCCCGCATTGCTTCCAAGGCTCCAGGGATGGGCTCCAAGTCTAGGAAAAAGCCTGGGGCTTCATACACACTGGCCACTTTGTCCTGAAAGATACAGTGTTCCTGTCCTGGCTCTGATCCCAGCAGACCTCTCCAGCCCCAGCGAGGACTCTCAAAGTGAAGTTCCTGGGGCGCTTCGGTCCCCAAATCAGAGTCTCAGGTAGAGGACTTTGTTCAGGGGTAAGTACTCCCCCAGACTGTCTAGTCCTGAGGTGAACTGTGGATTCTGAAGTGAGAGCTTTGTTAATTTTAAACAGGAAGGTGTCACTGGACATGGAGCAGAGACAGTCCTGACCCAAGGGGAGGTCTCCCCGCTCCCAGGTGTCCTGTGGGGTCGGGGCTCCCCGCTCCAGGGCGGCCCCGCGCCGCCGGGCCCCCCCCACCTCCCTACCGCCAGGTCCGGGCGCAGGGCTCGGTACTGCTCGCAGGCGAGGAAGCCGCGGCGCTCCTGCAGCGGCACGTACGGCTCCCGGGGGAAGCTTCGGCGGAAGCCCCGCAGGAGGCCGGCCTCGAAATCCGCCAGAACGCCGTCCATGTCCACCAGCACCCGCACTGGCCGCCCGCGCCGCGCAGCCATCTGCAACGCCATCGCAGCTAGGCAGGCGGCCCGGCGGAAATGTGGCCCCGGGAGCCGCCGCGCGGAGCTGGGCAAGGGGACTGCAGCTTCCGGAGCCGTGGGGTGGGCGGGCCCGACCGCGGCTGATTTGCATGGGCAGCCCCGTTTCGGGGGGGTGGGGGGCGGCGTGGCGATGGCTTGGGCTGCTTTCTGGTCTGAGGACGCACCTACGTGCACATCAGCAGCCTTCCACGCTGTAGCAGACGTCCTCGCTCACCCCGAATGTTACTCGGGGCAGAACTTCCAGGGGCCCGACAGGAGGGACTATCCTAAATACTGGGAAGCGTCGTCTAACAAGGAGTCAAGCCTCGTTAAACCTGAGACGCCATACCTGCGCACCCTGCTGTGGGGACCGGAGCAGAGCTTCCGCCCCGTCACGGCAGCACCAACCCACGGCCCGAATCACGGGGACTCCCAGTAACAGTTAGAAGTGAATGAATCTGCTGAAGACAACTGGTTCGTGTGAGCAGAGCTCCTCAGAGACGAATTCATAAACCAGAGTTGGCGTGAAACATGGGAGCATTTGCTTTAAACATCCAGTTCCACCTGGAAGAGGCGATTTTTCCACCAGGCTCAGGTAATCGGGACAGTCCTTTCTGTGGACCTGACAGGTCTCTAGGATCGGCAGCTCCATCCCCTCTAGAATTGCTGAGCATTGCTAAGTTTTGTTGACTCTCCTTTTCGTAGATTTCACACAATTTCCTGACTACATGTAAATATATTTACCTACAGACTAGATTCGGATTTGAGTAAGTGACCCATCTTCCTGTAGTTCCCCACCTCAGCACCCCAATATGTCTAAACCCAATGGAACAGAAGCATAAGGAAGGGGAGCCTGGCGATCTAATTTTAAAATGCTAAAGACGTAGAATAGACATCAGCAGTAAACACCAAGCCACTTGAGACACATAACTGTGTAAAAAGTCCACACTGTCAACAAAATGCTGATTCTTCTGCCATCGTCATCATTTTAAGATCATTCAACTTCATCTTCTAAACCCTAAGCTTTCTAACTGGAAAATTCAACACCCTTAGCAAACATGTTTACATAGAATTTTCTAAAATCTGTAATAGTACCAAAATGACTGGCAGAACACCTTTAGGCTAGGCACTTACCTTCACAGAATAAAAAACTAAAGCCAAGTTACAAGTTGTGACACAAATCAGGGACCTCTCTTGCCCAGGAGCTCCACCATTACTGAGAGAAAAGGGTGCAGGTTCCCTATCTCTGAAGTCATGACAAACCGTAACTCAGGTGATTGGTAGGGCTAACCTGTTCTGGTGAACCTGGAAAGACTGTGTAGCACAGCTGTTGATTTTCCATTTTGCAAATACTTTACACAGTAAGGGAGAAACACTTAACACCTCCACAACCTATGGTCACCCTTATTCTTCCCAAAGACATGCCCAGTAAGTCAGAATAGCTGGTGGTTACACACTAGGTTTGAGTCATTTCAGTCATGGGAAGGTTTTTAGAGGTGACCTCATTCAAAAGTCTTACTTTTAAGTTAGGAACCTGAGCTCCCAAATGACAAGCCCAAGGCACATAGCTGGTCGGTAGCACAGCTAGACCTAAAAAGCCGATTTACAGTGCCCAGTGGACACTTAATATAGCATGTTGGTCTGGAACTTTCTGCCTAGCAGCTAGTGAGCTTTCTCCCATCTTCTGTCTCCTGTATCACTTGAGAGGACTCAGATGACCCTGTCGCCTTCTATCTACGTGGACCCTTCCTTTCTTTGGAGCCTTCTTCTCTGACCACCCACCATTGAGAAGCACCCTACAGGCATGAGAGGGCTTGAAATTTTGAATGTTAGCACCCAGCACAGGAGGGTACGTCGTAGAAGAGTGTAAAGGTATTGGCTAATAATTATTTTGGATACCAATCATCCATATTATTCCTGTATTTTATTACCAGAGAGCCATTAATTTTCATTTTGGCATTCTGAACTCGTGCTCTCTGACTTGAAAGCTGCTTTCTTCAGAGAGAAGCCCACTTCTCTCTGGGCCTTCCTTAGTGTGTTTTAACTTTAATGGCTCATCAAATCATTGGGCAACAAGGTTGATAGTAACAAAGAAAAAAGCAACTAAACAAGTAGAACTCCTGAAACAATCTCAAAAAGATGACACAGGACACGGTGTTTCAAAATTTGTACATTGTTTACTTTAAGCAACAGTCCAGGATTGTGAAGTACAACACATTTTAAGGATGAGACTTTCTTTCATGGTCAAGCACCAGCATCATGCACACAGCTTCAAGTTATCTAAGAAGAGCACTGCCCCCGGGGCGGGGGGGGGGGTCCCTTCACCAGGAAGTCCCACTTCCATGTGGTCCCCACCCCTGCTTCACCACCTGGAGTTCGTCAGTCTGAGCGCACAGCGAAGCCTCCCTCTGCGTGGGAGCAGCAGGCTTTGCTCAGCCAGCCAAGTTAGTATCTGGCTGAAATATTTCTCAAGGTTCAGAAATGAAAGGCAGTTGTTTGTTTTGTGTTTTTGCTTTGCAGGCAGCAAGGCATGGGGCGCAGGCCTCTGTCGCTCCATATGGCACAGGAAGATGCTTTTTGCAACGGGCACTGACAAGTTAGGGCAACACCAGGTAGGTTCAGCATCAAGACACCCTTGTTTGGGGGGCCTGAAGGGACAGCGCCTGTGGACCGTTTACTGGCCTGTCCGATCCAGGCTTGGTAAACCCTAGTAAAGCTGACAAGAAAAGGGTTTTAAAAACCTCAGTACAAAAGATCCTCTAACACATTTGAAACCAATTTATCTGTTCTTAAAAACACGGTACTAAGTGTCACAAAGCTTTCCCTCCAATCTACTACTAGAAAACACTCATGCCAAGGCCTATAGACCCAGAGGAATCAGGACAGACAGAGAACCTGTTCTTCCAAAATAAAAAAAGACAGCAGTACATAAAGTGCTTCTTTTTTAATGAAACAAATCCAAAACATGTACAGTCAGGCTCAAGTTGTGCAGTTCACAAGCATGGAGAAAACAAAGAAACGAAACGACAGAGTTCAGGGCAGACGGAGCTAACCCAGGACGAGGCTGGACTTGCCACCAGGGGGGTTTCTCCGGGATGGCACGGGCGCCGGTGCCACTGGGCTGGGCACAGGGGCAGCGGGCACAGGCTTCTCCTCGCTCTGCCCCAGGCTGGCCTGCAAGTCTGTGTCTACGTTTTCTAGGAAAACAGAATGAAATTAAGGCTAATAACTATTCCCAGTGAAGATGAAAAGCCTAAGTGTTTTGGCTTTTGGGGTTTTTTTTTTGAGGATGGTTCAAACCATACCTAGAGCTATAAAGAAGAAACCAACAATTACCAGCCATCTGGCAGCCACTATCCAGAATTAACCACTGTTAATGTTTTGCCATATTTGTCCCCAGATCTTTTTCTGTGTACGTTCCTTTCTAAATTACAGAAATATATGAAGACATAAATATTTTAAATGAGAACATTACAGATAAGCTCTAGGTCCGTCTTCCCTGATGGTCCAGTGGTTAAGACTCCGCGTCCCCAATGCAGGGGGCCCGTCACAATATCTGGTCAGGGAACTAGATCCCACACACATGCTGCAGCTAAAAGCGCTAGGTCGCTGACCACCGCTCCACCTCTGTGGGTCTCCTCTCCCTATACACAGAGGCCCTACTACTAGTTGTGTGCATTCCTCTAGTGCATTTGTTTTATGTATATTTTGTGTATTGTGTTTCCAGCGAACAGTGTTTCTGTTGTATTTAACATAAATAATATCAACTTTTTCTTTTTTAACTTTTGGACATTCACCCCCACTTACACACACGGTCACGATCCACCTTGCTTAAATAACTGCTTTATAGTATGTACAGAGTATATATGATCAAGCCTCTACCGATAGCAAAAAATTGAAACTAATCCAACCGTTCCAAAACTGTAATGCGCGCACTCTGGAACGTGTGCCCACGGGGACACGAGCTGTCATCTTCCATTTGAACGGATTACACACCACCTTCCCCAGTGGCTGTACAAGTTCTGCCCCGCTGCCCGTGTGAGCGCGCGCCCTCCACCTCTCCATTTCCACCACGTGATAACCATCTCACCTGAATATCTGACGAACTGATGGGCGAAAAATATTTTTAAATTCCTGTTATATGTTACATTTTCATGACTAATGGGTGAGGTTGATTTTTTTTTTAAACGATACAATATCCAGTTGTACAGACATTTATTAAAGAATCTACCTCCCCGCTACTGATTTGTAATATATTAACCCAGTCACTCCCATCATGTTAACCCAGCACTTTCCACATTAAAGTCTTAAGAATTAGTGTATTATTATCCGATATCCTAAATATTGCTTGATTCCCTGACTGATTTGTGAAATTCCCAACAAGCATATATCCTTAAACAGGTAGTTCCCATTGAATCAAAGTCAAGAGTGACTGCAAAAGAAAAAACGCTAGGGACTTCCCCAGTGGCGCAGTGGTTAAGAATCCATCTGCCAGTGCAGGGGACACAGGTTCGAGCCCTGGTCCGGGAAGATCCCACATGCTATGGAGCAACTAAGCCCGTGTGCCACAACTACTGAAGCCCGCGCACCTAGAGCCCGTGCTCTGCAACAAGAGAAGCCACCGCAATGAGAAGCCCGCGCACCGCAACTAGAGAAAGCCCACGCGCAGCAACGAAGACCCAACACAGCCAAAAATAAATAAATGAATAAACTTTAAAAAATAAATAAATAAACTTCCTGGACTTTTTCCCTCTTTCTTCAAGATTTCCGAAGTCCTCCCTGTAGCCATTCCTGTGTTTACCCAAAAGATGATGGCAATATATCCAAACAAAATATGTTTTATTTCAACTGAGCAGAACAGCTTGGCTTTGCAGTGAAATTGCCAACAGAACTGGGGTCGACCTTTACTCTCCAGACCTGTCCTGAATGATTGTGCCCTTGTCATTTTATGCCAAATGAGCTGAAAGTAGCAGCAGTCAGGAACACAGAATAATCAGGTGGCAAAATTGATGATCATTTAAAAAAAAAAAGGAAGGACTTGCACTATACAGCTGCCTGTGCTATTCATTCACCTCAAGGATCTGCAACACTGAGCTGGGGGTGGGGGGGGGGGAGAATTAATCATTAGCAAATGACTTATCTTTTCCTAACTTCAGGGCTCTCACTTCTCTGGGCTCCCCAAATTTCTCATTATATCCATTGGCCAAAATTAGTGAAAGATTAGCTGATGCTTGCTAAACAAGGTCTGACATTGGAAGTACTTCAGAATATGAAAAGCAGCAGAATCAAAAAGCCTAGATTTTCTTTACCTCTAGAACAATCTTTTTAAAATGGAACAAGCTGGACAGGAACAATAACTAATACACCTTCAGTCCAGTGAGAACCTAATCTGTCCGTGGAGGGAAAACCCAGGTAATGCTCAATGGTTCAGAAGATTCTCCTCCCGTCATGCCCAGCAAGAAACGATGAGAGGACAGAAGGGGAATGTGATTCTCGTTAAACATTTCTGTTTCCCTGGAAGATTGACTCGCAAATTGTAATGGCAGAAAAAGGCCTTGAGGAAGCAGCTTCATCCTCCTAGATCAGGGCGCCCTGTGACGGCTGCATGTCACTGAGTCAACTTTAACCTGACTGCTGCTGGCCGACATGCGTAAACCTCTCATCACACGCACCGGCAACTCTCTGGCGCTTGTTGAAGAAGTGCCAATAAGTACTTCAAAGGTTTTAAATAATTAAATGATTACAGCTCATTTCCACATGTAATTGGTGATATGGGTGCT